ACCCCCAAACTCCTAAATCCCCAAATCCCCAAATCCCCAAATCCCCAAATCCCCAAATCCTCAAATTCCCAAATTCCCAAATTCCTAAATCCTCAACATACATAAAGATGTATCTTAAGTCACTTACGTTAAACTCTTTTCCGCCGCAGGTTTCATTGCTTAAATTTTTCTCATGTTCAGTTAAATTGGTTTTGCTAGATTGAGCTGTGTATTATTTTATGCGAAGTTAGGTTAATCAAACAAGCTAATTAACACGTTTCCTTAAGCGGAGTGCTCCGGGCGGCGGGGTGTCCCAGTTACAGAACAATTGTAAACATTTTAATTATTAACACAAGTGTTGACGTGGAATCGATTGAATGTATGTTGCTTCAAGTATTTTTTTTTATCTCTCTCAAGTGAATAATAATTCTACTTTTATTTGTACAAAACACTGCTAAGTGTTTATTTCATCGATCATGTTTTACGATTACAACGTACCTGTATAACGTTTTAATTTTACGATGCAAATATTGTCTGTTTAATATTTTTATTTTGAAATGTCGACGTGATTTATATGGTATTTTAATTTTACAATGCAAATAATACTTGTGTAACATTTTTATTTTGAAACAGAGACATAACCTGTGCGATCTTTTAATTTTACAATGCAAATACTTTTTGTATAATATTTTTATTTTGAAACACAGATATTTTGTGCATGATATTTTTATTTTAAAACAGAGACATAACCTACATATTTTAATTTTACAATGCAAATACTTTTTGTTTAATATTTTTATTTTGAAACATAGACATAACCTATATGATTTTTCAATTTTAGAATGCAGATACTTTCTGTACAATATTTTTATTTTAAAACACAGGTACTGTGTGTACAATATTATTATTTTAAATCATAGACAACACCCATATCATATTTTAATTTTAAAATGTAAATAACACTTGTATAATATTTTTATTTTAAAACATAACCTACATTCCCTTTTAATTTTACGATGCAGAAAAAAACATTTACAATATTCTTACTTTAAAACGCAGATATTGTACAACAATCTTATTTCTTCATTGCAAACACAATCTGCCCAGCATTTTAATTTCACAAAGCAGATATCACCTACATAACATTTTAATATTAGAACGCACAACTTGCATTCGTAATAAATAACGAATCACGATGCAAACCGTTTCAGAATGCGAATGAACTTCATTTAGAAAAATTGAAGATACGTTTTTCCCTTTAAATGGAATTTTCCTGCTGCACACAGAATAAGGACGTTCTAGAATCGATTTCCATTTAATCGCAATTTAGTTAAATTTTTAAATCGAGTCTCGTTTAAAATGAACGTTTTCCTCGAGCGCAAATATATTTGTTACGATCTCATAGAAACGTACGTGGTTTCTATTGTCCGTGATCCTTTCGGAAAGTAGAATGCATAAAATAGAAAGCTTCTTAACGATTACTTTTCGAGAAGCTCGAATTCCGTCCCGATCGAAGATTCGACTTCGAGAAGACTTTAATGAATAAGTAAGGTTTTCGGAAACGTCAATCTCGAAGCAAGATTTGCATAAAAATCCTATACTCGTATATTCGCATGGGTAAAGGCTTCGATTCGCGTGGATTTATAGAGTTCCATGAAATGCAAATTGAAAGGGGCGTGCCGTATCGAGCGATGTAGGCACATAAAAAATTAAATCGATGAAAATTCTATCGTGTTTATGCAGCTGGACCAACAGCTGCTACTTAATTGCACAACCAGTATGTAGTTTCAATTTTTTAAACGCACCTACGATCTTAAAATATGTAACCAAGAAATTGCTGCTTCGAAACTTTCACGAGGTGAAATTAAATTAGGACTTTCAAGGATAATTGAGAAAATGAACTCGATCGGTATCTGCTGTGAAATAACACTTAGGCTGATTAAGTACTCAACGCTCTATCCGCATAGACGAGTGAAATATCTAATTCAAGTGGGTTATAAATCCCTCTAGACTCTAGACTCTAGGGATGCATTTCGTAACAGGGTAAAACGTAAAATACAATTAATACACAGGTATTTTTGTTGAGAAATGCAACAGCTACAGTGCAATTGTAGTGTGGTCATTATATGCAATTATAGTGTATCGAGTGTGGTTATTTTTCTAGGTTATTTTGAATAATTAAGGACACTGATGTGCTAAAAAAAATTTAATGAACTTTCATAAAGTAAATATTATGTATACATAAATTTAAAGTTTACGTGATTGCAAAATCTACACTAAAAATTTGTCAAAACTTTTTACCATTCAAGGTGATAGCGCCGCCATCTTTCTGCGGCCATCTTGTCTGTTTACCATCTCAATCTTGCATCTTCAAAATTTCAACTTTATTAAACGATATTTATTGCTGTCTAACAATAAAAATCGTCCACCTTCATATTTCTAACTTCAAGCTACTTCCTAAAATTCTTGAAGTGTATAAAAATTTGTAAAAAAAAGTGTCTTACACCTTAGTGTTTGAAAATGATTTTGATCAAAAAATTTTGTACTCATTCATCGACAAATTATTTTACATTTTCAACCAACAGTGTATCATACACATTAATTAAACTATCCAGTCCGAGACAATAAAAGATTAAAAGAGAAGTATTTTCCGTAACATATTTTTCCTGAATTTATCGCAAACGGAAAAGTTTGTCAACTGACGTCATAAATTCAACGTGATGGCTGAGTAATCCGAGCACAATTGATTGGATTGCGGGCCTAATTTGTAATCCGCAGACACATGGTATGAATCGATAGCTCTTTCACCATGCTTCCACCACACACCGACCTGTTGTTTTCCCGTCTGTCGTTTGATCAATCAATTAGAGTTATTAACATGACGCGTTGCCCCACTGAATTATGCTTACCTCTAATTAGTCATCATTCATTTGCCTTGAAAACCTCATCGGTTCTCAAATAATCCTAACTTTAAAGAACTTTTCGGGGAAATTTATATGCGACTATTATAAATTTATTTGCAATTCATATGTAATTATTATGTATTTTGCAATTTATATGCAATTATTATAAATTTATATGCAATTTGCATAAATTTATTTACAGTTCGTATAAATTTATTTGCTATTTATTCATTTGAAATTGTTATACGTTTATTTGCAATTTATATACAGTTTCTGTGATTATAAATTTCAAGATTTCGTTGCACGTTTTCTTCTTTGTGTAAATCATTTTTTATACTCTAAAGATAAATATCAAAATTTCTGTTTATTTTGTTTTAATTTATGTATTTGTATTATTACTTTTATACTGCCTTTATATTTAGTTGTTACACAATCCTGTACTATTCTTCTACTTAAATAATTTTAATTTCAATATCTTTCAAACATATAAAAGATTTCTGTGATACTACTAATTCAGTGATTTTTTATTTTTAATTCATTTCTTAATTTTGTAACCAAAATCTCCATAAATATGACTGAATCAGACTTGTCACATTATGTGTCTTGTAAAGCAAGAAATTTTATATTAGTTCAAAACTGTTGCCAAACTAAAGTTGCTTTTTTGCAGTGTCATATTCCAAGAGAAGCTTTTGTGATTTATAAAATGACAAAAACTAATTCCTCAAATTTTTATAAACTTACTCATATCTAAATCTATAAAATCTGACATTTCGAACGCACAGATCATATACAAGTATATGTCCACAAATGCATCGATATACTTCCAATTAGCAAGTTACCAGACGTAATAATAGTCTTTGTTAAATTACAGTTGCATCTCCGCCCGATCGAAGAGTGACGAGAGACGATATCGCAGTGTCCTCGCCCGGCTCATCTCCAAACGCAAATGCAACTACAAGCTGCACTGGTACAACATCATCCCGATTATACAACCCTTCCTCGCCGGGGCGAAATGGTCAGCTATCGAGTAAGTAATACAATTGTTACAGGATATCAAGATCATTATTCGCTTTACCTTGCGGCGATTGATTAAATCATCCGACTGAACACTGCTGTGGCAATGAATTGATCAAAGCTGTCCAAAGCGAAATTATCAACCTGTCATGCACCTTCATGGTTATTCAACTGAACTGCAAATTTCCGTTTGCCTTCATTTTGTATTTGGGGAACATTATCTAAATTTCATGAAACACCAAGTTCTATTGTGAAGCTGTTACAGTTTTAATAATTACATAAATTCGTTCTGCCAAATAGCTCTTTGCACCATGGTCACTATTATTTATAATAGATAAACCTAACCTAACTACTATTTTAAATAACAATACAGTAAATAATATGTAACAGTGTAATAAATAGTATGCAAGATTGATGTGATCAGTAAGTTCATCTTTCCATTTACCTTCATTCTGTACATGAAGAACATTATCTAAATTTCATGAAACACCAAATTCTATTGTGAAGTCGTTATAGTTTTAATAATTACATAAATTGGTTCTGCCAAATAGCTCTTTGTACCATGGTCACTATTATTTATAATAGATAAACCTAACCTAACTACTATTCTAAATATTGACACAGTAAATAATATGTAACAGTGTAATAAATAATATGCAAGATTGATGTGATCAGTAAGTTCATCTTTCCATTTACCTTCATTCTGTACATGAAGAACATTATCTAAATTTCATGAAACACCAAATTCTATTGTGAAGTCGTTATAGTTTTAATAATTACATAAATTGGTTCTGCCAAATAACTCTCTGTACCATGATCACCATTATTCATAATAGATAAACCTAACCTAACCACTAAATATTAATACAGTAAATAATATCTAATAATAAAATAAATAGTATGTAAGATTGACGTGATCAATAAGTCTGAAGAACTTGACAGCTTTGAAGTAGCGAAAATATTTAGCTTGTTGTCTTGCCTCATCCACTTAGAAATTTGATAGTTTTCTCGTTAAACGAAAAGCTGTTTAATGCGATCGCTTTGTCGATGTTCCAGAACAAGGCACGTTAACGATAGTACGTCGAAGTTCCGGCAAGAATAAAAGTATCGGCGGAAGTTTCGAAAGTTCCCCACCACCGCACAGCCCTGACACTCTTTCGTCAAGCCAATCCGTGGATCTTGACGAGATTCTTGATAATGTCGACCTCACGACAGACTCACTCCCTGCCGTTGACACCCCCGATGCTTGTGACAAGGCTGCCCTCAGGTATTTTACTTCGAAACTTTTCGTTTTTATCTTCCTGTTACATTATCTACGCTACAGTAAAGGTTAACAATTTCAAGACCAATTTTGATAATAATCGGGTTTGGAAATAATGTGGGCAAAATTATGATAATATAATTTCATGTTGCATTGTCGTTCAATTTTTAGTATGACTGAATCTTTCAAAATTGCTGAAACAATACATAATAATGGGTTTTTGCATATTCTTTAGGTTAATTTCAAAAATTATTTTGAGACACTTCTGACCATCTTTCAATTTTCAATATTAAAGAAAATTTGATGAAGAGTAATCTAATTTTGAATAATTCTAAAAAGTTAATATTGCATATTACACCACATATAGTTCAACAAGAATACTTTCCTTAAATTTTCAATAAAGAAAGAATCAAAAATTTCAACACATCAAAATGTATTAAAAACTAACCTAGAAGTTATAATACCAGTTATATATTCTTTAACGTTGTATTTTCGGTGAAGGATAAAAATTAAGACAAAATAGAGTTTCCCTAGACTTTCATGAACCAAGAAAAATTAAGAACAGAAAATAAATTTTCGTGTCAGAAGAAATTAAAGCATTAATTCTTGTTACAGATTGAGATGCTTGCTGAGGCAGCTCCAACATGGCGAAATATCTGCAGAATTGCTGCAACGAAATTTGCATTACGCGGCACGCGTTCTCGAAGCAGTCTTCCTCGATGAAACCAAGTAAGTTTCACTTAAAATGTTAATTAATAATCCCTTGTGTAACCAACACCTTAAATAACGTTGGGTCAGTTGCGTTTATTATAGCCACTTCGCTAACAGCTGATTTACTGCATTGTTCCCTGATACGACTACGAGAAGATTTTTAAAATTAATATTCTATTTCATGTATCACTGTAATATTATATATAATATATATTGTATTTAGAATTATGTCTAATCATTTTATTGACACTTTCAATTTCTAGGTTTATTGCTGATTAACAGGTTTATTCTTCGCCACTGTTATAATGTTAATTAAATAATTAATTAAATTTGAACAATTTATGTGTGTCAACTCACGACTCCTGGTAATATACTGCGGTGTATAAAAATAAACTTCTGAGAGATATCTTTTTTTCATTCGGATTATTTTATGAATTATAATTTTTTTAATTTGGATTAAAATTAAATTTATTCTTTTTCTATATTAGATACCTAAATCTTTATATTGTTATATATTTGGGTAATCATTTAATATGAGATTATACTCTCACTTTATGGGCCATTTCATTTTATCGCGGTTTTTACTTCTTGAAGCTATTTTCACATTTTTATGTACTTAGGTAATAATCCGACGAAATACAGATTTTTATTTTATCCCTTTCTTTTAATAGTTATTACTTTTTGAAGATGTGGAATATTTGTCAATTTTATGTTGTTATACATTTAAGTAATGATTTGATGTGATTTAGGTTATATTTCTTATTTTATGAGTAACTCCTTTTTTTCGGTAGTTTTTATTTTTTTAAGATAATTGTTTTTGAAATAAACATGTACATGGTGTATGTAGTATAATAAGTTGTATTTGGTGGGAATATTGACGAAAATTTTGAACTTCCCAAAGAACTTCGGTTCGAGGAGTAAGGACACCAAGAGCGCCTCTTTAGCTCAGTGGTAGAGCACTGGTCTCGTAAACCAGGGGTCGTGAGTTCAATCCTCACAGGAGGCAATTCCTTTTTTTCGTTTTTTTCTTTTAATATAACAAAAATCCACGCAACAAACATTCGCTACCGCAAATTCTACAATTTTTTACAATTATTTCAATAATTCAATTTTGTAAATTTCCCATAATCCTTACTTATTATCCTTGTACCTATCATTTCGATATTCCCTCGTACTTTTTTACATCACAAATTTTGCATAAAATTTAAACTTCGTGTTAAGAAATTTTTAAATTCCTTCCAACAATTTCCATCCACCCTATTTAAAATTCCCTTTTCGTTTTCTCGACGTATCAGAATTGAAGCGAACGTGACAACGTCGACGTAAAGAAAAAAGTCTATCCAAACTCGGATTCCTTTTTTACTGCAAAAAGCCACACCCGAGGAATATAAATTATGTTCTCAAATTTTACGTCCTCACAAATTACGTTCCCTATTGCGTAGCGGAATTTCTACACCATTTGTAAATCTTTTTGCAATTTATAAATCTTTCCGTATAATTTGCGATCAACGTTCATCGATCTAAAAATTAACTTCAATTTTCCTTGACTTTTCAGTATGGTAGATCAATACTTTCCAGTATGGCTTAAGATCAACACTTCGGTTCCTAGATCAACTTTTCAGTATGGTTTTCACCACTTTACGATTAAAATTTTCCAATATGGTTCTTTATGATCAGCGTATCCTAGATCAACTTTTCAGTGTTTCTCCAGAAGGAAGGAATATTTCCGCCATTTTAGTTAAGTAATTTGTTAAGAAAGCAGGAGCTGAGGAAGCAGCGCCGGTGCGAATAATGCTAATAATTGTGATAAAGAAAACTGTAATATTCTACTGTTCTGTTCCCTACCTGACACGTGCACTAACAAGCAGTACCGCAGGGTGAATTCAGGAGGGGTTGAGTGCTCTCGGTCATCGCGTAGGGGTGCGGGCCTGTCATCTGCATCCCCTGGGAGCGGCTTGGACTCGGATGGACAACAGGGCCACGGGGTGGTAACCCAGAAACGGAAGCTTCGCACCCCCGTATGGGCAAGGTTGCGAAATATTCACATTTCCGACCTCACACCACCGATCATCCCCTGATTCGTACCCGACTGTCCGACTCCCACGTCCTTCGTCATCTTATCATACGTTAGGGTCCCAATCATGCTTCGTTTGCTCGATCATTAGGGGAACCTTACCAGACCAAACTACACGGGGCTTTTGAAGGCGATTTTTTAAACTGAAATATGAACACCTCCATGCGGGAAAGCTGCGAATTTTTCTGTGATATTCGGTCTTTTCATATTTTTTTTTTGTTTTTGATGCAATTGAAACACGTTGAGAACGAATTAATTATTGAGGGATTTCTTTTAGGGTGTTCTTAAGATTTTGTAGGGTTTTCTTAGGGTTTTCAAGGATGTTCTTAGAGTTTTGAAGGGTGTTCATCGTTTTTTATACTCTTCTTGTAAATTTTCACAAAACTGTGCGATGATATATTTTTATTTTAATGTGAAATCAGAATAATGATATGAAATCTTCATTTTAATAATACGTTAAGTAATTGAAATTCGGACCTAATTATTTTTATATGGAACAGATAAAAATTGTACATATTAAAATAAGTTTAATGATGTTAATAATGCTGTTATTTATTTGCTACATTATCAGTTGCTTTGTTTGAGAATTTTCTTCAGAAAATTATTATCGAATATGGTTAGTTATTATTAAGTTTGCAATCGGAATAAATAATCAAAATAATTAGTTACTTTTCGAATAAACATTCGCAACAATAATTAATACCGTCACTTTAAATAATTTATTTCTAAATAACTTTGTATACAAAAAATTTTATACAGATATTTTTTAATTTTACATAAAAATAATTTTATACAAATATTTTTTAAAATTGAAATAAAAATATCTGCGATGAACACCGAGCAGAAATAGCAATTATTTTCCTTGATTACCTATAATTATATAGACATAAACGAAATGTTCAGAACGCACTTAATATGCAAATGAGATATTTTGCATCAGCATCACCGATCGGAATGGCAGGAGATTTTAATGCAACTACCGAGCTTAGATATTAATTACAATTTGCAATTGAAATGCATACTCATGCAGCAAAATGATTTGTTCCATCAAAATTGGATCACACGTTCTCGACGTGTTAATTCTGGATGATTGATTACATATTCCTGTGTAGGATTTTCGCATTCCAGTTACCAGGATATTTTTGAAAACGTAATCTCGTTATTACGAGATAGAGCTATAATACGTTCTCTTCTAATCGATACGTAGTAGCTTTATACAAAAGTGTAGATCTTGTGCAGAATTTTGTTAGTACACTGATTGTTTAGCAACTTCTATAGAGAAATTTCTACTATTCACACTGTCTACAATGCACGATTTCTATTAATTGTTTAAGTGACATAGTATGAATTAAACGACATAGTGAACAGTACACATAGAGTAGAAAATCTAAACTGAAACTAGTTAATTAATTTAATTAAACTAATGAATTATACGACATAGTGAACAGTACACATAGAGTAGAATATCTGAACTGAAACTAGCTATTCATTCACTTATTAATTAAACTACATATATGTATAGATTAATAAATACATATAGCACACGATCATACTTCATCAAAAAGCAACAAAATACTCTTCGTGAATTTCGATTCTTGGACTTAGATTTTACTGTGCAAAGATTAATAACGTATTTAACGCTTCATTAGAAAGGTACAATACTATTCGAACTGTGTGTACATAAAGACACAGAGTACAAACAGGAATTAGACAAGCGGGTACTAAACAATCACGATCGATTGTACCCAATAGACCAAACATGTCGAAACTAGAACTATTGTTTTAAACTGACATTGAGTATCTGAGATACCTGGATATTTGGGTAACTGGTAGAGATGGGATTTTAGTTTGTTTGCACTAACAAATTGATAATTCAAATTTTCAAATATCTAAGTTTATACATTTTTTGTTGAATTTCATATTTTATTGATTGTAAATTTGTACATTTGCAAGATTTTTAGTTTTTCATTTTTTAAATTCGTAGAACAGGTAATCTTTATATTTGAAATTTTCAGATTTTAGAACTTTCGTGTTTCCAAGTTCCTAGATCTATAAATTCTAGGTTCGTTGAATTCCTAATTCTCAAAATTGCTAGGATCATAAATTCTTAATACTTAAATTCCTGGTTACCCAAATTCCTGGTTCTCCAAATTCCTAGACTTCTAAATTAATAGATTTTCAAATCGTTATAGCCCCAAATTCCTATACCTCTGAAATCCAAGATCCCCAAATTTCCAATTCCCCAAATACCCAAATTCCCAAATTCCCAAATCCCCAAATTCTCAAATCCCCAAATCCCCAAATTCCCAAATTCCCAAATCCCCAAATTCCCAAATTCCCAAATCCCCAAATTCCCAAATTCCCAAATTTCCAAATCCCCAAATCCCCAAATTCGCAAATTCCTAGTTCTCCAAATTTCTGGTTCCAAATACCCAAATCCCCAAATTCCCAAATTCCCAAATTCTTGGTTCCCCAAATTCCTGATTTCGCAAATTCCTAGTTCTCCAAATTTCTGGTTCCCTAAATTTCCAAACTTCTAAATTCCCAGACTCCTAAATTCCTACATCTCCAAATTTCTACATTCCAAAATTCCTTAATCACCAAAATCATAGACCCACAAATTTCCATTTCCCTAAATTCCTATGCTTCAAATTTCCAAAAATTCCTAAATACCAAGCAACAAGCCTCTCACCTCTTACTTTTCACATTTCCCCTAGGAAACTCAGATTTCTCCATCCCACAATCTATCATAGTTTTAAAACTATTCCAATACTGCTTAGAAAGTATAGTTAACCAAATATTGACCTTAAAAGAATCTCAGTTTAATTAAAAAAAACAGATATAATTTTTAATTATCAAATATCAAAAAACTCAATATATAATAAAATTTATTGTTATATATATAACGTAATACACAAAATCTCATCCCTATTGGTACTTGAATAATAGTAATTAAAAACCAGGTATCTCAAAAATTAACAGCTCTAATCGAAACACAGCATGACGACTGTCTTCTACCTGCCTGGCCTGTCTTCCCCCTGTTCTAGCCTCTTTATAGTTCTTTCTAGGTATAACCTGCTCAGTTCTTGGATGACTGCCTGTTTACCAGCTGTACTTGCATCGCTCTGTCAAAACACCGTCTTCCTATTTCTCTGTTTTATGTTCCCCACGTGGCATTTGCATGAAAAATACAACAGAAAGTGCACCGACGTTTTACGGCTGTTATCACTTGTTTATCTGTCGCAGGTATACATGCGTATATTTTAACCATTAAGAATACAGGAGTCTTATATAAAAAGTACACTACATTGTGACTTTTCGAGAAGAGTCGTATTATTCAAAATTTGATGTCATTTTTCAAAATTTAATTTTAAAGTTCTGCAGTTCGATTTGTGGATGCAAGGTGAGGTGGATTTAAAAGATATGTGGATTTAGGGATATGAGAATGCAGGTGGGAGAGGAAGAGTTATAAATATAGGGAGATGAAGAGATTGAGGGATGTGGTAATTTAGGATGTGGAGAAATACGAGTATTAAGGAATTCAAGATTTTAACTCTTGTAACGTTATCTAGAAATTTACAAAAATATAGAAATTTGCATCTCCACGTAGATTTGCTCTGAGCATCCAAAGATCTATAAATCTGTGATCTTGTTATCTAGGAATTTAAGGATTTAGGGTAGAAAGTTGCATCTCCACATAGATTTACTCTGAGCATCCTTGGAATCTAAAAAGCTAAGGATCTGCATGTAAATCAGTAACCTTGTTATCTAGGAATTTAGGGATTTATGGTAGAAAGTTGCATCTCCACGTAGATCTACTCTGAGCATCCTTGGGATCTAAAAACCTGAAGATCTACATATAAATCAGTAACCTTGTTATCTAGGAATTTAGGGATTTAGGGTAGAAAGCTGCATCACCACAGAGATCTACTATGAGTATCCTTGGAATCTAAAAACCTAAGGATCTGCATGTAAATCAGTAACCTTGTTATCTAGGAATTTAGGGATTTAGGGTAGAAAGTTGCATCTTCGCGTAGATCTACTCTCAGCATCCTTGGGATCTAAAAACCTAAGATCTATAAATCAGTAACCTTGTTATCTAGGGATTTAGAAAATCAGAAACCTAGAAATTAGCATCCCCACATAGATCTACTCTCAGCATCCAGTTATCTAAAAATCTGAAGATCTTTAAATCAGCAATCTTGTTATCTAAGAATTTAGAGTTAGAAACCTAGAAATTAGCATCTCCACATAGATCTACTCTCAGCATCCAGTTATCTAAAAACCTAAGATCTATAAATCAGCAACCTTGTTATCTAAGAATTTAGAAAATCAGAAACCTAGAAATTAGCATCTCCACATAGATCTACTCTCAGCATCCAGTTATCTAAAAACCTTAGATCTATAAATCAGCAACCTTGTTATCTAAGAATTTAGAGAATCAGAAACCTAGAAATTAGCATCTCCACATAGATCTACTCTGAGCATCCAGCAATCTAAAAATCAGTTCTTGTAACCTACCTAAAAATTTAGAAATATATAAACTAACATATCCACAGCATGTTTAGAATTTCCAATAAAAATCTTTCTCCACAAAAAAGCTTTTTGAGAAATTTTTGATGCAAATGCCCGTCTGTACGGCCGTTTACATGAAATTGCATGCATATAGGATGATGTGCGACAACTGTCACTCATTAACGGAATGGAGGTGTTTAATGGAATGCTCGAACGTTTCCCGTCGATCAACGAATCGTCATCGACGCCACAAACGATTTCAAGAATAAATTTCAAGCAACGGACAACACAACTCTCTCTCTCTCTCTATCTCGTTTCTCTTTTTCTTTCTTTCTTTCTTTCGTTTTCTGTATTTCGTATACTTTCTTTCTCTCGTTCCTTCGGAATCGTTTAACACGCACGCAGGCGGACGTTTCTTGCTTATGATACGGCTCTATGAACTGTAATCTGTCGTTAATGTGACACGCAACCTTTCTTGATGTTTGGAATTATAGAGACGCCGAACGTATGGAGTCAGCCGCTACTTGCCGTCAGGGTGTACGACGTAGGTTCGTTCCAAATGTTTGAATAACAAAATCGCATAGTTTCACGATGTGTATCGCTCCGACATGCCTTCTGTTTATTTCTATGTTTTCCTTTCCGTTTTTTTTTTATTTCTGTTTTCGGAACGTTACTTTTTGCGTCCTCGACAGAGGTGCCGCGGTTTTCGAGTTCACACAAAGGGCAACGGGAAATTGTTATTTTTCAAAAGTTACCTTTTCACTCGACAGAAATGATTGATGTACAAAGTGTTCTAGTGGTCGACGAAAAGCCTTCGTTTTGGTTACAAGTTTTTCATACATTTTTCCTTGGGTGAACGTTTTTAGGTTTTTTGAGAAAATTGAAGATGATTTTTTAAATGAATTTTGAGAAAATGATTTTTTAAATGAATTTTGAGAAAGTGATTTTTTAAATGAATTTTAAGAAAATGATTTTTTAAACGAATTTTGAGAAAATGATTTTTTAAATGAATTTTGAGAAAATGATTTTTTAAATGAATTTTGAGAAAATGATTTTTTAAATGAATTTTAAGAAAATGATTTTTTAAACGAATTTTGAAAAAATAATTTTTTAAATGAATTTTGAGAAAATGATTTTTTAAATGAATTTTAAGAAAATGATTTTTTAAATGAATTTTGAGGAAATGATTTTTTAAACGAATTTTGAGGAAATGATTTTTTAAATGAATTTTGAGAAAATGATTTTTTAAATGAATTTTAAGAAAATGCTTTTGTAAATGAATTTTGAGGAAATGATTTTTTAAATCATTTACTAATTGAATTTTTTTTTAAGATCTATGATATGAGACTGTAATTTTGATTATTCAAAAACGAGAATGAAATTGAGACTATTAAGATGTGGAAATGAAATGACTGAGCATTGAAATGCAAGAATGAAATAATAACTTTCAGTACTGAAATACAGAAATAAATTAATAATTTTCTATGACAACCATGACTACTAGAACACGTTGTATGTAATTTTTAAAAAGAAAAGCCTTTTCTTAACTTTAAATCAGTATTCTAAAATTTTGTTCAGTTTGAAACACTTGATAAAGTTTGTAGTTTTATTTAAATTTTAAATGATTTAGTAAACATTGTACACTTTTATTTGATTTGAAATAAAATTTACGAGGATGAATCAATAATCAGCACTACTTTCGCAACAATTATCTGACAGTGAATAATATTATTTATTATTATTAATATACATAATATTCAAGAACAAATCAAATCAAATAATGATATGAAATAATATAATGATAAATATTATTATTAAATAGTACTTGACATTAGTAATATTTAATATCTACGAAATATCATTTACTATTTAAGATACGAATCTAAAATTAACCCTTTAAAATCTACTAACTAATTTAGTAATCTACTTCTAATTTACTAACCTTAAAAAATATTTAAGGTTCTTAAAAATCCAACTACGATCCTAAAATTTATCCAATACTCTTCAATCTTTTTCAATCTACTCTTCAACCTCACATTTCGTAAAAATAAAGTGCGTATAATTATTGACTCATGCTCACACAAGTAAGTGAATAAACTAACGAAGCGTAGTATTTATAGAAACTAATCTCCGTAGATGTTAAAAATGTTAGATTATGTCATACAAGTAGACGAAAGATTGTAAAATATAGTCATCGATCTCACGTTGTCCTTTAAATGTCAATTGAAACACCGGAATCACCCATGTTGTGCATGATAAGTTGTTCATCATCCGATGTATCCGTTTTCAAAATGGCAACCCTTCACCGTAACTTTAACCGTTCTTGTAAATACACTTCTCTCACCAAGACTCACGTTCTTGTATCACACATAATCGATTACACTCGTGATTTCACTGGCTGTAAAAATGGAATTGTTCACACCGGCCACTTTTTGCAATCCCTGCGATAAATCATATCGACTCGATATCTCAAGTTCACGCTTGATTATCTCATCCCGTATCGATATCGCGACAAATAACGTAGCGAATCGTACTTAAACAACGTTGATTCTTGCAATAAACTTGGAGAGCGAATCGATCGTCGTTTTATTGTGCTCGATAACAGCACCTGTACTTACCTGTTCGGTACAAATATTTCTTTTATTGCTCGCTCGTGAAACGCGACGGAAATCAGCACTCTAAAAAATGAAACGCTGCATTCAGAAAGGGATTACTTCTTCTCTTTCGGGTCAGCTGCGTGTCGCTACTGCGTTTTATCATTCGATGGCTCGAATCTTGCTGCTGAACTAAAAAGAAAAGTACTTCGCTTATCGCGGATAAATTCAGACTTTTCACGATAACCCATTCTTTTGTCATGGGAAAATACTCGAGACGTGTACTTTTATATCGCTGAGTTTTCTCAAGTGCTGATTACTATGTGCAGGCTGAGGTTTCCCGTGAGAAAATGGCGATATAGAGATCTTATTATTCTTATGTTTACTAAGGTTTTTGTACTTTGTTGAATATGAAAACGTTTTGTGTTCATTGGGTCTCTGATGGGGTTCCTCACCATTTTTTTCTAGGGTAGCTTACCGCGATTAGTTTTGTATATTAACAAGAAAATGTTTAATTGGAACTTTTGTTATATTCTATTTATTTAGGTGCAAATAACAGTTTAATGATTTATTAATTTGACAACTGATTTTTATAACTTCGATGATTTCGATAATTTCGATAATTTCGATAATTTCGACAATTTTGATAATTTTGATAGTTTTAACAATTTTAATAATTTCAGTGATTTCAATAATTTCGATAATTTCAATAATTTCAATAATTTCAATAATTTCAATAATTTTAATAATTCCAACGATTTCGATAATTTCAATAATTTCAATAATTTCAATAATTTCAATAATTCCAACGATTTCGATCATTTTGATAATTTCGATAATTTTAATAATTTCGATAATTTCAATAATTTCAGTGATCTTAACAATTTCAATATTTGGAACAATTTTAATAATTTTAATAATCTTAATGTCACAAGTTTTAATAATTTAAAAAATTCTTAGAAAATTTTCATAACATTAATTTTTATAACTAAAGTTTTATTTTATACTAGTTTCATGTGATGTATTATTATGTAAAATCTATTTTGGCGAATGTATCATTTATTAAATTTTTATAGGTATATGACATTTCAAATTAGTTTAATAATTTTACTACTACAAATATTAAATAACATATTGTTTATTAGTGTAATAAAAAATAATTTCTTTCTGTATTCAGCGTTTCATTTTCCCGTCAGTTTTACTGATTGAAAGTTCCAGAAATTAAAACTCATTCCATCCATTTAATAATTTGTAAATATTTATTAATAACTGCTATTTCCTATAATTCTTTCGTTGTTTCTGTCGAAACAAATTTCATGTTTAAAAAAATGAATAACAAAAATTTCAAGCTCAAATTTCCAACATAAACCGTATTAATATTTTCCAATTTTCCTGACGTTGCAATTAATCAACGATCCATTTTGTACACTAATTTACATACTTGATGTTTCACATTCAAACAAAGTTTGTGTGCTTCAACTGCTTTCGCACATATTTCTATACACTTAAGGATCCTATATTTCTAATTATCAACAAATTACATTAACTATTAATTTAAATCTTTTTTATGAATATTATGTTATTTAATTTTTAAAAATATTATATTACTAACCTTGCAGAAATGTTGCTGATTTTGTTAATGTATCAAGTTAACTTTGTAAAAATGTTAAAGTATTAACATTATAAAAATGTTATGCTTAACACCGTTTGAAGCTGTCAGATGTAAATTTTATTTAAAAAAATATTTCTTTGGGAAACTACCCTTTAAACTCTCTGATTTTTGTATAACATAAAATAGTACAGTTATTATCAGCTCGCATTTTTAATGCGTTATTAATTTTAAAGAAAATTCTTGAGACAGAAATGATACCTTAAACCTTATTACAATGTCAACAATTTTTAATAAAATCTGTAACAAATTTTCATATTAGCCTAACACCATAATTTTCAAAATGGTAAATAAAACACATACCTGAACGTAACTCTAATGATTTTCTATATAACTATAGATCTTCCAGAATGCAAACTAGCATAATAACAAAATATTTAAAAGAGTCTACTATACAATATAGCATCTGAACGTTTCAAACAGTGTTACATATCGAAATCATATCTGATCATTAAATATCTCACAGATACTCAATTTCGAAACAGAAATATGATCCTTAATTTACAGCAATACTCACTTAAGACTACAGAACTCAGACTAATCTTCAACATATTACACTGAACTCACAAAAGCAAGAAAACAACACTCCATCGTCTTCAAAAGTATCTGAGAAGTCCTCACAAAACATCCCAAAAATAAAACATCTCAAACATAACCTAAAATCCCTCTTAGACCAAAAACAAGAAACAGAATAAGAACTCGTAGGCATCACAAATTCACACAGCAAAATTCTCGCCGTTCAGAGAATGGTAAGGTCACAATCGATGTTATAACCTAAACGGTTATCGAAATCATCAAGACACCCTGACCATGCGTTTCTTTCTTTAAGTCAGATTCGTTTGCGGGACGATCGACTCTGAACCCACTCTCTCTTTTCTCTTTCTGTTCTCTCATTTTTCATTTTATTCGTCAATTCTGTCGTAAAGAATGCAAGAAGGTAGGGGTTGTCCATCGTGATCCGACGTTCGCCGATGGTCGATCTGCGTATAAGTAACCGGTGAATTTTCCTTAGGCGGCTGGCGGACGAGGATGACGAATTATCCGAGGTGCAACCGGATGCTGTGCCACCGGAAGTACGAGAATGGCTCGCTTCGACGTTCACCAGACAGCTGGCAACCACCAGAAGGAAGGCGGACGAGAAACCAAAGTTCCGCTCGGTCGCGCACGCCATCAGGGCAGGGATCTTCGTTGATCGGATTTACAGACGGGTCACCAACACCGCCTTGATGCAGTTCCCTCAGGAAGTGGTTAAAGTGCTCAAGGTACCTTCATGACACCTCTGTAACGTCATTGGACCATCGATGAAAGAGACTAAGTGACTGGTCAAATTAATATATTCAAGATTTCGTGTTTGTTCATTTAAATAGGTGGAAGGAAACTCGTTATTTTTTATTACGATGTTATTTTGGGGTTAATTATATTTACAATGCTTATTGAGAAAGTTATATATTTATTTTTACATTATATGTTCAAAGTTTGTGAGGTTAATCGATGGAATAGAATAGGTTCTTTTATTGCAGTGTCATAATTTATTATTTTTGCAATATAAGTTGGAATGGTTCAAATTTTCAAATTCTCAAGTTTTTGACCTGGAAATATCTGAATTCCTAAATATCAAAGTTAATCAGACTTCGAAACTTTCAAAGTTAGTACAGATTTCCAAATTTGTAATTTCTTTAATTTGCAACTCTTTGAATATCGAAATTACCTCATTTTTCAAAGCCCTGAAACCTCAGGTTCCTAAGTACCAAAATCCTTAAATTCTTCAAATCGTCTGATCTTTAGGTCCTCAAACGCTCGCATGCAGGATCCCTCAAATCTTCAAGTTCTCAAATCCTCAGATCCTCAAATCGAGAATCTCTCAAATCTTCAAATTCTCAAATCCAGGATCCCTCAAATCTTCAAATCCTCAAATCCAGGATCCCTCAATTCTTCTAATCCTCAAATCCAGAATCCCTCAAATCCTCAAATCCAGGATTCTTCAAATCTTCAAATCCTCAAATCCAGAATCCCTCAAATCTTCAAATCCTCAAATCCAGGATCCTTCAAATCTTCAAATCCTCAAATCCTCGGATCCTCAAGTCCAGAATCCCTCAAATCTTCAAATCCTCAAATCCAGGATCCCACAAATCTTCAAATCCACAAACTCTCGAATCCATAAATCCTCAAATCCCCATATACTCAAATTGTCAAATCCTCAAATCCCCAAACTCTCAGATCTACGATCCCTCAGATCCCCAAATTCTCAAATCTTCAAATCCTCAAATGCACAAACTCTCAAATCTACGATCCCTCAAGTCCTTAACTCCTTAAATCCCTAAGTGACCAAATTTTCAAACCTCCATACTTCCAACTCCCCAAATCCCAAAAATTCCAAAAAATATTCAGCACACCTATAATCGTATAGTTGAATAACTAGTCTGATCACAAATAGACTATACTACTTAAACCTCTATTACAACGAATACAACATTGTATCAGAATATCTTGTCCCGAAAGAAAGAAATTTCATGGGTGAATATTTTAACCAAAATGAAGTCATTGATCTTACAATTATGGTTTCGTTAAAGACTCTGGACGACTGGTCGTTCGACGTGTTTTCGTTAAGCGAAGCCGCAATGGGAGCACCGGTGAAATACCTCGGTTACGATCTGCTTAATCGATACGGCATGATCCACAAATTCAAAGTGCCCCCTGCGGTTTTGGAATGCTTCCTGGGAAGAGTCGAAGAGGGTTACTGCAGACATCGAAATCCGTATCACAATAATCTGCACGCTGCAGACGTTGCGCAAACCATGCACTATATCTTGTGTCAAACAGGATTGATGGTGAGTTCCAGATGATATTTGATCATTTCAAAGAGAAAGTTCCCAGTTTAATCCATTAACCGTGTCGTTGTTTAACCTGAAAACAGTCTTTCTCTTCTGGTGTATGCAATAAGAAACCATGGAGTGTTCTTTTGTGTCAATGGGTTATGTAAAGCGTATCCTTGAAAGAGTATTATTGCAAAGATAGTTCGATATGTTACTCAATTTTTATGGTATTCAATCGATATATTCACTGTTACGTTTTTAGGTATTTTGTTAAATTTCTATTTAACAATTTATGTATCCATTTAAATAATTGCATAGAACTATGCACATTCTGAAAAATAGCAAACTATACACGTAAGTTATTCGTTATTTTTCAGAATGTTTATAATTCTATAAAATTATTTAAATGCATACATAAATCGTTTACTATACTAAATAAATGAATATATTAAACTATACACGAAAGATATTAAAAAATGAATTCATCTAAAATGCACAACAAAGAACTACCTTAAAAATGAAATATTCAAAGTACGTGAACACACATTTAGTTTTCAACCTCATAATAAAAGTTTGTGCAAACATAATTCCGTTGTACGGAAGATAAAGCAGTTATTTTATCGTGACGGAATTAACGCGTTTTTCTCTAAAAAAAGAACTCGCGGTTACGTTCTTCCTTTCCGTGCAAGTCGCACAGGAATATTTCACAGGAAACGAACGTGTCCCACCTGAGTCAGGAAGTTCGAAATGAAATTTAGTTTTCACGATTTCCCAGACTGACTTCCCTCCCGAGGAAATTGCACATTTGCCACGGATTATGCACACGAGCTTTCAAAGTATCGCGACGGTTTGCTCGTTACAGAATTGGCTGACCGATCTGGAGATTTTCGCCACTTTGGTTGCGGCGATTATTCACGATTACGAGCACACTGGGACCACAAACAATTTCCACGTAATGTCCGGTAGCGAAACAGCGCTCCTCTACAATGACCGCGCCGTTCTGGAAAATCATCACATTTCCGCAAGCTTTCGGTATGTATACTCGTTCGAAACGGTTTCGTTGAACAAGACAATTTTTTTATTCTGAAAGTTTTAGTATTTCTTCAATTGTAAATGTTCGAGGTTTCAAGTTTTTGAATTTCTGCATTTTCTATATTTTTCAAATTGAAGATTTTCAAATTTATGTAGTTTTAAATTTTCGTGGTTGTACATTACTAAATGTTCAGGCTCTTGAATTTTTTAATTTGGACTGTTTTGTAAATTTTCAAATTTTTGGTATTTTACAAATTTTCAAATTTCCAAGTTCTCAAATTTCCATACAATCACATTTGCGAATTCTTAAATTTCCAAACTCTCAAATTTCCAATCACTCAAATTTCCAATCACTCAAATTTCCGAATTCTCGAATTTCTAATCACTCAAATTTCCAAACTCTCAAATTTCCAATCACTCAAATTTCCGAATTCTCAAATTTCCAAATTCTCAAATTTCCAATCACTCAAATTTCCGAATTCTCAAATTTCCAATCACTCAAATTTCCGAACTCTCAAATTTCCAATCACTCAAATTTCCAAATTCTCAAATTTCCAATCACTCAAATTTCCAAACTCTCAAATTTCCAATCACTCAAATTTCCGAACTCTCAAATTTCCAAATTCTGAAATTTCCAAACTCTCAAATTTCCAAATTCTGAAATTTCCAATCACTCAAATTTCCAAACTCTCAAATTTCCAATCACTCAAATTTCCGAATTCTCAAATTTCCGAATTCTCAAATTTCCAAACTCAAATTTCCAATCATTCAAATTTCCGAATTCTGAAATTTCCAATTACTCAAATTTCCAATCACTCAAGTGTCCAATCACACAAATTTCCAATCACTCAAATTTCCAAACATTCGAATCCCCCAAATTTCTCCACCCCCAAATCTGCATATTTCTACACTTCCCAAATGTTCATCTTCCCACATTTTATAATCCTGTACTCCCTAGATCTTCAAATTCCTACGTCCCAAAATTCCTACATTCCCAAATTCCCAGATTTCACCCCGAAATTTTCAAGTCCTCAAAAATTTGCCCGTTACCCCAAACCTAGAAAAGTTACGATTGCTCTTAATTGTTCTACTCCAAAAAGGTCATCGAACGTCCTGATTGAAACGGCTTGAAAACAACACAGGATTTTTCTTTCAATTCGCACGTTGATAATTGAGAACAGTTTTCTGGTCGGCTCGTAAAGCTCCTTGTTTGCCAGGGGAATAATAAAAATCGATGAAAAGCACGAAGCTTAAAATGCCTGCAATTGTTTGTTACGTAAAATGTAAGCGGTGTTTTGTTTTGGTTGAATTTTATAGTTGGAACATTTCAATGGAGAACTATGGCTGCATACATATTTTTGTGTGTTTCAAATCGACGTGAAATACAAAGATAGAATGAAAGGGATGTCTGTGGGTACCATAGAAATTGTACCAACAGTTTGAAATAGGAAATTGTGAAATTTACTGACAATTGTGAATTGAGCATTCATCTTTTGTGGTATGATTCTTTTGGTTCTGAAAATGAAATACTTTTCTGTGTAAATGATAACTGTAATTTTTATGTAGATAATAGCATGTTGGTAGGAAAAGTAGTTTTATGTCAAAAAATTATGAAGAAAATTTACGGAAATTAATTAAGAAAATTATTACAAATTGCAGCACTTTATGAAGGTTTTAAAATTATGAATGCAATGGTAATCGTATGTGCAATCATAACTATAGTTACAATTATATTTTATTTTTATAAAGAACAGCAAATACTATCATTAATCTTTGTAATTCGTTACTATTCATTCATGTTTGACAAAATACAAAAATTTGATGATATATCGTCTTAATATAATAAAAGTTAACGAAGGATCTTTCATTTTCTGAGCTGATATACAGGGTGCCTCATAATTTTAAATTTTACATTGTCCATTGAAAAATGTATCATTTAAAACTGGATGAAAGTTACGGACTTTCATAACAGAATATTAAAACTTTGAACAAATTCAATCATTAAGTAGTGTGTGGTTTGAAAGGTGAATGTAAGAGTTACTTTAAATTATTTCAAACGAGTGGTTGAAAGTTGTAGAGGTTAAAAGGCTCGAGATTTTTCAGAATATTGAAGGAGGACGAGTGCAATATACTACAAAACTTGTCGAAAGAGGAGTTCCGTGAATTTCGTTCGTTGGTGATCGACATGGTTCTCGCGACCGACATGAGTTTTCATTTCCAACAATTGAAGAACATGAAGAACATCTTGAGTCTGGCGGAGCCTAGCGTCGACAAGAGCAAGGCTGTCAGTCTGGTTCTTCACTGCTGCGATATCTCGCACCCGGCCAAAAGATGGGATCTTCATCACAGGTAGAATTTTCTTAAAATATTCCACTTCATTTTTATAGTAAATGTTGTTAATATTAAATACATTTAATACTAAATTTTGTCACGTTTGATAAGTAGTCACTTTTGAATTGAATGTAGTACAACAATAATTAAGAGCTAAAATACACATTAATGTATATGTATAAACATTTATATAGACAAAAGCTAGAATCTTTTTTTGAGAAAATAAAATTTCGAGGAGAGCCTCTTAGTAATTTCTAAAAATCATTTTCTTCATTGAATGCAATATTATACTTCAAAAAATGTACATATAAAAATTAAATTTATTTTAAGAAATTTCTAAAAGTCATTTTCCTCATTGAATGCAATATTATACTTCAAGGAATATACATACAAAAATTAAATTTATTTTAAAAAATTTCTAAAAGTCATTTTCTTCATTGAATGCAATATTATACTTCAAAGAATGTACATACAAAAATTAAATTTATTTTAAGAAATTTCTAAAAGTCATTATCTTCAATGAATACAATATTACATTTCAATGAATGTACATGCAAGAATTAAATTTATTTTAAGAAATATAGACATTGGTTGTCTATTTTGTTAAATTTTACATGTGGAGACTATGAGTCTATTTAAAAATTTAGGCAATAAAAGTGATTATGAACATAGACATCTTAGGACCTAAGTCTTCTACATCCTAAAATTTAGGTCTTAAGATCTAGGACTTAGGACTAGGATTTGATGTTAAGTTTTGAAGCTTATTGTTAGATTTGAAGACCAAGAACCTACTAGTTTTTCAGTTCCAGAGTTTGTTAGATTTGAAGTCCCAGGACCTTGTTAGATTCTAACAACCTAAAACTTACATATGAAGGTTTATAAATGCCTATTAGGTCCTAAGTCTTGAAACTTACATATGTAGGTCTATAATTGCCTATTAGGTCCTGAGTCTTGAAACTTGCATATGAAGGTTTATAATTGCCTATTAGGTCCTAAGTCTTAAAACTTGCATATGAAGGTTTATAGTTGCCTATTAGGTCCTAAGTCTTAAAACTTGCATATGAAGGTTTATAATTGCCTATTAGGTCCTAAATGCTAAAACTTACATATGAAAACTATTATTACTCATCAAGTCCCAAATCCTAAAATTCACATCTGAACGCCTAGAACCTAACCTAGAACTTACACACCCAGATCTTCCATCAGATCTAAATTATACCACAGATTCAAAGATTTAGTGGTGTTTAGAGATTCAAGCAGATCAACGAAGTATACAAGTGATTTTATCCACTACATAGATGGACCATGCAACTGTTGGAGGAGTTCTTCCGGCAGGGTGACAAGGAAAAGGAACTGGGATTGCCGTTCTCTCCGTTATGCGACCGCAACAATACTCTGGTGGCTGAATCGCAAATAGGATTCATAGAATTCATCGTTGAACCTAGCATGCAAGTTTGTAGCGACATGCTGGAGACGGTGCTCGTTCCATTGAGCGCCAAGGAGAGCGTGGACGAATCCAACAATGGTAAACAAATCTTTCATCTGCTAATATTGGGTTTTGACGTTTTTTAAAGAAAATGTTGGATTACAGATCTGGCATGGGTAGTCAGAATATTATTGAATAATGTTAATTGTTTTTTCGAGGGAAAAATTATTTTACTATAAGAAAAATTATTGGTAGCCAAGATCTGTAACTATGTATATTTCATTATCTATAACTAATTCTGCTGTTTTAAAATATGGATCATTCATAGGAGTATTTTTGATAGAAAATTTCGCAAATCGAAACTAAAATTACTAACATTTAGTGCTATCTTACAGTACATATCTCTTTCAACTTTCTCAATGTTTTACCTTTATAAAAATTCATATCATGACATATAGTATTCATATTCAGTCATATAGTATTGCAAAAATCAATCTTAAAAATTTAACCACAGAACAACTTCTTCTATACTGTTTCTGATATTTTAAAATTATACCTGCATTATACTGTTTCTATAACAAGACACGTCACAATATGAGCTCCAAACTAATACACCTTAAGAAAAACAAAACATGTTAATACACGAATAAATTGAATAAATGTCACATACTAGCAAACGTACCATAACTTCTTGTCTAACCCAATATTTCTTATAAATTATTATAAAACATCAGAAAGCGAATCCTACAGAATTAAGTCATAACAAAAGAAAAAATCGTGAGATAAGAAGTTTAACATGCTTCAACGCGTTTTAACCATGAAGGATATTTAAATGATGAATAATCTGTAGGATCAGCCGCTGAAAGCAGGAGGATTAAGATCGGGAAGCCATGGATTCCGTGTCTCGCGGAGAACAAGGGAATTTGGAAGGAGCAAGCTGTACGAGGTACGTAGATAATAGATGTGAAAGATGGTTGAAAATTTGTAGCTACATTCTTGATTACTTCGGGTAACTACTGAATTGTGGGTTGCATGTGAAAAAATTCATTGTTTAACTAGAGATGTTTTATAATTTTGAAATATGTTAGAGTCATTGTTGTCAGTTTGCTGGGCTAATAAGTGTGATTATGTGGGATTTGAGGATTTGGGGATTGGGGAATCTGCAGTCTTTGAGGTTTGGAGATTTGGGGATTTGAGGATTTGAGGATTTGAGGGTTTGAAGATTTGGGGATTTGAGGATTTGAGGATTTGAGGGTTTGAGGGTTTGAGGATTTGAGGATTTGAGGATTTGAGGATTTGAGGATTTGAGGATTTTAGAATTTATGAGTTTGAGAACCTGAAGATTTAAGAATTTGGGAGTTGAGAAATTTGGGGATTTGGGATCTGGAAACCTAGAGATTGAAAATGTGGACACTTGGTATATAAGGATTTAGGAATTGAGGGATTTTGGAATTTTTTAATTTAGGCATTTGCAAATTTCGAACTTTGAGAATTTAGGGATTTAGAAAATTTGGAATTTATGAATTTAGGACTTTGAGAATTTAGAAATTTAGGAAATTAAAGATTTGCAAGTTTGGAACTTTAGGAGTTTCTAACTTTAAAAATTTGGAACACTAAGAAATTAGGAATTTTCAAACTTGTGGCGTTGAGAATTTAATGATTTGAGAGATTAAGAATTTGTGAATTTAGGTCTTTGAAAATTTAGGAATTTGAGAATTTGAGAATTTGAGAATCTGGGAATGTAAAAATTTAGAAATTTGGCAAACTGAGAATTTAAATTGGAAATTTAGGAATTTGGAAATTTGTTAATTTAAGAACTTGAAAATTTTTTCAACACTTGAAAATTTCCAAATTCCCAATTTTCTAAACTTAAAGCCAGAAATGTATGAACAAATAAAATAAAAAATAAACTTGAATAACTTCAAAAGAAGATATAACAAATTTAACAAACTTTGATTAACAGATGCAGAAGCAAGGGCACAGAAAGAGCAAGAGCAGAAGGCAAGCGACAACCGCGAAGATGGCGACACATCGCAAGCTGCACCCGAGGAATGAAAAATCCGGCGGGCCGTGTTGTTTTTCAAGAACATATGTAATTTTAGGCTACGAGGAAGCCCGACGAAGCATTAAAAAATCGCTACCGACGTTGAAGCATTAAAAATCACTATTAATCACAGTGCAAGCTTCGAGAACAGTGATTTTTCCGGACGCTCGAGTATCGAAAGTTATGGACGCCATTAAACAGGATACTCTGTCGAGACTGTTTGTAACATTTATCATTTTACGCGGATCGTATCACCTGATCGATGTCCTTTCGCCTTTCCAACACCTGTAATGTCTTTTCTAAATCTCTTCGGGAGAGATTCTCTTCTGGAATATCGATTATAGCGGTTCCCGACATTTTTATTCGCTTTCTGCTGCTTTTCACCGATTGTATATATTCCGACAGGATTTTCGTGCGCTGTCAAGAAAGGTAGGCTGTGATATTTTATAATTGACGCCTTGCGTTCATTTATCTTTTGAAATACTGGGTGGTTCGAAAGTCGTGGTCGAGTTTAGAACATTTTTTAAAATTTATAAAAATTGTCAAAGTTAAAACTGTTAGGTTTGAAACACTTAAATGAAACTCATTCTTAAGATGTTTATATTTTTCTGTTTTCAATGATAAAATATGATTTGTGGATATTTTTGAAAGCATTTGTGTAATACAAATATACGGAACGCAAATATTATGTTGTTAAAATATTAAATATATTGATGTTGATTAGTACGATGTTTGATGAAAAGTTCGACAACTTTCATTCGAACTAAAATTATGAAATTGTTATGAAATTGTTAAAAAGTCATGGTCGAGTTTAGAACATTTTTTAAAATTTATAAAAATTGTCAAAGTTAAAACTGTTAGGTTTGAAACACTTAAATGAAACTCATTTTTAAAATGTTTATATTTTTCTGTTTTCAGTGATAAAATATAATTTGTGGATATTGTGTAATACAAATATATGGAACGCAAATATTACGTAGTCAAAATATTAAATATATTGATGTTGATTAGTACGATGTTTGATGAAAAGTTCGACAACTTTCATTCGAACTAAAATTATGAAAGTTGTAATAAATTATACATATAATGAAATGTAGACACACAAAAATATAATTTTACACTTTACAATCGTACATTACTTTAAGAAAAATGATACAACAAATATATTTTAATTTGTCAACTCCTCTCTTGACTTTTGGATCACCCTGTAGTTAACGTTAGTATGTCGACAATGAGATTTATCTTCGACAGCTCGTAATTATTTAAATTCCTCTCACGTAATTATTACATCGATTAATTCTTGACTTGTATATTTTATTCCACTGATTTATTGCAAGCCAAAAAATTATTATTCAAAACAAACAATCAGTAATCTTCTATATACACTCGAGAAATATTTTCAATTCTTCTGTAATGGAATTTGAATCAAGATATACAAAAATATAGAAAACTCATTCATTACACTACTATAAAATATTTAGCAAAATAAAATTACATAACAAATATTACGATAATCACCCTCTTTCTTTATGAATCATTTTCAAATCAACAAGACGTTTAATATTAAAATTATATTCTACATAACAAATATAATTGTAATCGAATAAAATCAAATTTGAATTAAATTATTTACTATTACAAATATTCAATAAATAAATATTATATATATTTAATAATTAATTAAGGCGTTACACAGCATGCCTTATCTCGACACAGAAACCAACCCGATCCGCATAAAAATGATAAAGAAAATATCACAGATATTTTTATTCAATAATGAACTCAATTTGTTATTTAGTAAAAATAGTCGGGCTTTCATCATAAACGTAGCCTAAAATTACCAGTGTCTGCAATAGACAGTGAAAATCGAGCGCACTTAACAAACACACACACACACGGAACAAAGAAATCATTAAACGTACTTAGAGCACAATTATTCGTTCGCAATGAAGTGCTGGCAAAATGTGAGAGGACACTACGTTAATGTTAACGGAATTTCCACGGCGTTCCGCTATTTGAACGCTGTTCTTATCCGTACCTGTTTTTTCTTACAATTAGTGTGTAACTACGAGCATACATTATTTCATAGGAACGAAGACTTTCATCTTTGATGAAGCATCGAATCGTTTCGGAAAATGATGCGATTAATTTATTTTATTATTTTTATTCGTAGCGGAATATTTATTAGATATGATGCATTTTTAAGATGGTACACTCTGATGAATTTAAGTAGGGAGAAATTCGGAGAAAATTTCTAAATTCCAAATTCATTGATTTTTCAATTAATAATGTTTTACATTTTTAAATAATTTAGTTTTCAAGGCTTTGTATTTACAGATTTCTAATTTTTGAGATGTTATATTTTTAAATTTCTAAATATTTGAGTTTTCTAATTATTAAATTTTTAGATTACTGAAGTATCGAATTATGAAAGAACTAAACTACCAAGTTACCAAGTTACAAGTTACAAAATTACCAAATTACAGAATTACCAAGTTACAAAATTACCAAGTTGCAGAATTACCAAGTT